TAGATAGATAGATAGATAGATAGATAGATAATCTTTATTTATCCACGGTACAAAATTCGTCAGCTTTAAAAATGCCTAATACTAATATAATAAAAATATTTAAATAAAAAAGCTGCTTTCCACGAATGCCGTGCCTTACAGTTCTTTGAGTAATCGTTTAAATTGCCCAAGGGACTCTGCTTCCCTTAAGTTACAAGGAAGACTGTTCCAGAGAATGGCGCCACTATATAGCTGAAGCTGTTTTTGTAACGAAACCAAATGGTAAGCTCTGAACGGAGTGGATGTTTTAAACACTGTTAAACTGAAATTAAATCGTCTTTTCTTTTTACTAGTGTGTTCACAGAGATCTTGCAGCCAGAAATGTATTGGTCGGAGCAAACTATGTGGTAAAAGTAGCAGACTTTGGATTAGCCAGAGATGTTTACAAAAGCGATCAGTACATCAAAGTTTCTGCGGTAAGTAGCCTTGGAACGATTTGTGCTTGAATTTAGTAAAAAAGCAATACATTGATGCGGCTAGTGGCTGCGAAATCCGTTTCTTATGTTCCTTTAACCTTATTTGCAGGGCCTTGTGCCAGTAAAATGGATGGCGATTGAATCTCTTGCAGACAGAGTGTATTCTGAACAGAGTGATGTGTAAGTCCGCTTATATATATATTTCGCTCTAGGTTACGAGTCACTTGAAGAGCTTCAACAGCGGGTGAAACTAAGACTATTTTGAACTTAAAGAAGAAAACAATAGCTATACATCAGTTATCGGTTAACACCGTATGATGAATGTAGATTTTGATCATTTTCATTTGTATGTTTAGGCTCGATTTCAGGACATAGCCAGACGAAAATACTTAAGAGGCAACATGGGAGAGGGGATTAACTGGAGCCCTACATTTTATTTTATTTTTTCATACTTGAAGACCTTATAACATATATATATACTTTGTTGTCTTACCCCAGATGGTCCTTTGGCGTGTTTCTGTGGGAGTTGTTTACCCTTGGTAAGTTAGCTTCTTCTTCTTCTTCATCTTTTTTTTTTGTCATATCGTTGACCTCAATGATGCTCGATCAATTTTTGAAATCATGGTAATTTTTATTGGTCCTATTGCGTATGGTCTGAAACAATTACGTACAATCTTAAAATCGATTTCGATCTTTTCACATTCATTCTCGATATCGTCAACCCAATGAAACGTTGAACGCCGACGAAAAGAGAGCGTTCTTCATCAGTCAGCTTTGAAAAAAGACGGGACGCGTTTTTGTAACTAAAAGATCTGAGAGCTGAGATCTGCTTTCTGCAAGATTAACCAATAGCTGAAGATTTGGCTGAGTGTTTTCGTGAAAGATCCCTCTTCAGACTTTTTTCATTGTTATTTTGATTTTGATTTTAAGGTGGCAGTCCTTACCCAGGCCTACCCCCAACGGAAATTTATAACTTCATCGTGGCAGGAAATCGAATGGATCAACCAGTAGATTGTCCTGAAGTTATGTAAGTAATGAATATCCTAAGGATTTAAGGACGATATTAGGTGGTCATAGAAGCGAAAATTTTAAAAAAGAGACAAAAACAGCAAAAACACGGCTCAGCAGAATCGGGGCAAGTTATGAAAAATACTAAAGTAAATTTAATTTTCAATAATTATGAAGCCGACAAGGTTAACTGTTTGCCGTCTTGCACTCTCTTCTTTTCTTATCACTACTGATTGTCCTCATTGACAGGTATTTTATGATGAAAGACTGCTGGGCAGAGAAACCAGCGGACCGACCAAACTTTACCGCTTTGGTGCAGAGGTTGGATCACGTGATTGAATCTAACATGGCTGCCATGGTCTGTACAAACATGATTATATTATCTTCTTTTCGTTTTTACCTCACCTTGCCCCAACCCCATCAATAGCCAAGATGGTTTTGAAGCGCTGGCTCAAACTGTTCAACAAAATGGAAGGTGATAGCAGCTTGACAGAAAAATGAAATTTCTATTTCTTGACCGAGGCATTGTCTTACAGGCAAGAGATGCTCACATGCCGGTAAATCCTCGCTCGAATCAGATGAGGAAAAGGGGAACGAAGAAATACCCAATCACTAGTCAGCTCCCCCTCTTCACCCACCACCACCCCGCCCCTACCCCAGCCTAACAGGATGTTGGCAACATTAGCCCAGATAATCGAGTTTTGGACCTATAAATGAAGACTTATTCTTGGATCTATTAGGGTCACGAAGGATATTTGGATCTTGGGAGTGACGAACCAGCACCAAAAGAAGCAGAGACAGATAAAGATGGATATCTGACTCCTCTGGAGATTATTTCTCCTGTTCGCGAAAAGTCGACGCTTTTTATGAACAGTAACGTGAGTGGAAGTAACAAGGAACTGTGTGGAAGTCACAGGAGTGTGGCGAGTGAAACCAAAATCAAGGACCTTCTCGAAGTAGAACGATACACGGAGCTTGGCTTTAAGCCTTCCGGTAGCGCAAATAGTTTGTCTGAAACTATTCTGTGAACAACAAATGTGAGGCTGTGAAGCTACTTGGATTGCATAAAGGTTCTTACGGAGGTGGTGTTGCGTCGAACGGAGATCACCCTCGTGTCACTTGTGGTACATGCACTGAGCCGTAAATAGGCTGACGAACCTGTCAAGTTTTCTTGCCATTTTGAGAGATTCGTAAAGCTTAAAGTGGTATGGGTAAATCCCTCTATGTGAAACTATCATTACCTAGCACTGTTTAGTTTCAAATCAATATCCATCTGTATGGAGGGAAGATTGATACTTCCCAGCCTGAATTACGTCTCAAAGACAGCAAACAGCGCAGTGGTACGGTTTGAATTAATTAAGTTATAGTATGCATGAATTCAAAGTTAAGTTACAATGTTGTTATACTCCCACACGTTCCGCTTCCGCTTTCAGAATGACTTAAACTAATCATCACTCGTGAACCGATTACAATCAAACTTGCAATTCAGTTTAAATCCAATAATATTAATCATCCTGCGTAAACCCTATCGGCAGGGGCACCCAACGACGGTTTCCTACTAAATGCATCGAAAACATTTTTTAGGCTATCCAGAGTACTTTTAGATCTCTAGAAATGCATCCTAAGCGGGGCTATAAAATTTGTATCTGTTCGGTCATCCTAGGGCAGCTTCAGTACTTATTTCAGGGGCACCCAACGGCAATTTTCGGAAAATATCTGTTCGGAAGACGATTTGAGAGCTATAATTTTCGGAACATTTGCTGTAAAATTTCTTGCTTGCCTGCCTCTCCTAGGATTTTCGAACATCTACAAAATGGTATAATTACCCATTTTTAACGAATTTTTACCCTAAAAAAGGCCACCTAGAATTTTCGGGAGCCTTTTCCCGGCTGAAATTTTCGAAAAGGTAAGTTTTGATCCCTATAATTTTCGGATCACTAGACTTTCAGCTAGGAAATCCGAACAGATGAAAAGTTTTTAGGGGATAAAAATATGTCTATGTCTACCGTTTAAATACTAAAATACGTTCAAGAATGCTATGTTAAGTGGGTTTGAACTGTATCCTCGTCGGGTGCCCCTGTTATTTTCCCGAAAATTTTAGATGCAATTTAAAGTTAACGAAAGTAAGAATTTTTCTGAGTCCTTTCTCCATCGCATTTTCGAACCCACAAATTTTAGGTTTCCTTTTTCTACGAAAAATAGCTTAACCTAAGGATTGAAATGCGAAAAATTAAACTTTAGGAAATCGTTGGGAATTTATAAGATAAGCTTCGAAAATTGTTCGTGAATGAAACGGTCATCTCCAAGCCTTTTAGCCTTCCTCAAGCTATAGAAAATTCTAGGCAATTTCTGCTTCTCCGAACAGATATGTTACCGAAAACAGTCGTTGGGTGCCCCTGCCTTATTTGAAGGCGAACGTGAATTGGTTTGTTACTAATTAATACATTTTCTTAATCCTGCTGGTATTTCGTGGCTAATTTCAACATCATGAAAAATACGAAGCTATCAAATTTAGACTACAGATATAATGTGTATTGGGAGAATGGTAAATTAAAGTCCAAAGCTACGTAGAGAGAGGTCATTAACTGAGTAAACGTTTCAATTCCATTGCAATCGCCCTGTTTATTCACTTTGCCGGCTGCTCCTTTGGACATGCAACATCCAGTCAATCGTTGTTATCAAGCCTGTAAAAGTTGTTTTTTTATAACAGAATGGGCACGATTTTAACCCAAACCTCTTTGATAGCAACCCTAACCGATTTATTAAAATGCCGCAACGTGAAATCATCCACGGACTAAGTCAAAATGTTTCCTTTCTTCGCGCATTCTTCCAGGTAAGGACAGGTTGTCATCACTGTTGTTGATAACTGGGGCGGGGGGGAGGGTACTCCCTTATTTGGCCAATACGGTTATGTGCCGCTGAACAGGTTATGGTTTTCAAGGTCTTAAAATGAGCACTTTTTGTCTTAAGCAGGATTGGGGTTTGAAAGCCTCGTCGGCACAGCTCTACCCAGAGTTCCCTTAATGGCAATCTGCATGATAGTCATCAAAAGTGTAAGGGACTTAATCCTTACCCCCTCCCCCTTCCCCCCCACCCACCCCTCCCCTAGGCTAAAGGGAATGAATATGATGACGGAACTTAAGGTCCCTCAATTATCATAGTAAGACTGTATTTTTAAGGTTGCATAGCCATGACATATATCTGTATATATATCTATATCTAGGATTTTGATCTTTTTTGGAGCGTTTTCTTGTTTGTTTTGTTGTTATTGTTGTTTTTCTGGTTCACGTATGGACCACTCCTTCCACCTATTTGTACCTATCTCCTCAAAATTTAAGTTACAAAGACTGAGCAATAAAGAACAACACCTCCATTTAGAAAGCCGGAAGCCATAAAAGCTCGTTAGAGTTTAGAGTCTTCGCACTCTACTAAATCTTTCATCCTTAACAACATTATCTTTTTCACTTCTTCAATCCCACATTTCAATTCTTGTTCGCCATCATTGTTCAAGCGAGTTTTGATCCCTGCTAAAATTGCATCTTTGTTGTTCATTCGAGCGCAGATCACAAATGGAAACCCGAACTTCTCCTTGTAAAGCTTGTTGTACTGCTTCAATTGTTTTATTTCCTCGGGGCTAAGTTTAGTAATTCCAGCTTGCATCTGCTCTCTCTGAGATTCGGGTGTTAATGATTCCAAACGATCTGCCAGGTCGGGGTGGCTTCGCAAAATTTCAGCTCTACTATCCTCCGGAAGGTCGTCAATAAATTGATGTAGGGCTCCGACAAAGCTATCAAAGGACGCAAAAGGCCTTGCAGAATATACCCCAGCTGCGCATGAGGGAGTCATCTCGACAACATTGCCAAACTTCCTCAAAAAATCGTCATAGTTTAGTGCGTTTACAGCAGAAATGCTGAATTTGGACGCCATTTTTAACTGATACGACCAAATACGCTTACACGACCGCCTATCCTATGTAGCACGCTGACATGCAGGCTCAAGATTGGAGAAAATCGCCAAAAAAAAAAGCAAAGAAATTATGGCGATTCACGCACACTTTACCGCTACAGATTTCATTGTATTTTCGTTAACCTTGTTAGCCTCTATGGGTATTGGAATTTTCTATTCTAGATCCGGAGGAGCACAACAAAATAATAACGAATATCTCATGGCGGGACGAAGTATGTCCAGTCTTCCAGTAGCGGTATCTGTTCTGGCTTCTTTCGTGTCCTCCATCGCTATTCTGGGAAATCCAGCTGAGGTGTACGCGTATGGTTTTCAGTACTGGCTTCAATGTTTTACGAACTTTATATCTGTGCCCATCATGGCACTGGTTTTTTTACCCGTTTATTACAATCTCCGCTTGACAAGCAGTTACGAGGTGAGTGAACCGCCGGTCGTATCAGCATAAAACAGTAAATATGTTTACATGTCGTGGCCATATATTTCACCGGTCAAGGCATAGTTGGTCAAGGTCAGTAAATATGTACTGTGCTTTTGCACCATATATAAAGCTAAGGCACAGAACCTTTCTTACGCACATATTAGACTATTTGTGCCACTTTTTTTATTTAAAAACAAGTGTTTAGCGCTGCACTGCATTGAAGGGTCAATAATCGTGAAAGTTCGTGGCACATGACCAGTAAAATAAAACCAACGGATGTAACATAATCGAATCAGATAATCGATACCCATGCAATAAGCCAACGCTATATTAAAGCACGTTACTCTTTCTCGTCCTGTAAGGCTCCTTTTATTTTAAATTGGTTTTGATATAATGTATATACGTATACAAGTGGCACTATTTGCAAGTTAAAACGGTGTAAATTGCACCCTGTTCATTCATCTGATGATCTATCCTAAATAATTATGACAATTGTGTTGTCACCTGAATCGATTTAAGTCCTTTGTTCTCCTTAAAAGCTTTAAATAATTTGAAATGGTTATGATATGATGTATTTTATAATTTTGACGATATAAATAATGAACGGCTTTGTTAAGTAGACAAGAACAAATTGGTCCCTGATCTTAACCTTATTATTTATGACATTTGTATAGTCATCTAAATGATTTGAGATGGCTAATAAAGGGCTATGGACTAAAAAAAGAACTTTTTTGTTATATTTGTTATGTACTCTAATTTCTGCCAGGGGGTGGGGGAGGGGGGTGGGGAAGAGGGGAGTGGATGGAGAGGGTTATCACTACGGTGGTCTAAATGGGTAGGCTCCACCGAAAAGTGGTACCTTTTTCAGGTATGGATTTCTTACGTTGTAGTATATGAAAGGGAAGGGAAATCTCTGATTTAGTTATTTAAATTATATAATTTATGGCATCAATGCATTAAAGAATACATGAAACAGGAACTCCTTTCCTTTAGAACAGGTGGAAAAAAACTTTTCTCTCTGTATGAATTAACTATTGTAAACAAATTTATAATTTGTACTCAGAAACCCATGAGGGGTTGTTCAACCCCTTATGAGTTTCTGTTGTACTCTAACTTACCAGTATAATATAGCATTTTGAATTCTAATAATAGTTGTCTGGTTATTTTTTCAGTATTTAGAGAGAAGATTCTCCTTCAGTGTGCGTATGTTAGGCTCTGTAGTGTTTGTCATTCAAACAGTAAGTATATGCATGGCAAGGATTTGTTGATTTAAGAGTAAAAGAATGTCTTAAAAGATTCAGATTTTCTCTTTTACCATCACACCTGATGTGCTAAGAATGATAATGGACATGAAGTAATAGTTTTGACAATAAATTTCTTTGAACAAATTCTAAATCATTTTGTTGAATTAACAGGTGTTATACACAGCTATCGTATTGTATGGCCCTTCTCTTACATTGGAATCAGGTAAGTATTGAAGATAAACTGTTGCTGAGCTTCAATGCGTATTGATTGGTTAATTGATGGATTGATTGATTGACATTGAGAGATGATATACTTTTTTGTTCTCTGGCTTGAATTGTGCTGCAAACCTGTCCAAACAGCACTTTGAAATAAGTTATTTATTTAATGTAGTTTACCAGGAGGAACAAAAAGAAACGTTTCAACCATGCAACTGAGGCTGTTAGTGAAACATAGTCAAACATCCTATAATGGACTCTCCTTTATTATGGACAGTTCATTTGGTAGCAAAGATGCCATAACTCATACACCTCTGACCTCTGTGATTAAGGACACCTCTAAAATACAGTTACTTTGCTGTCTCTTGGTATCCAAGTTATTGGTCAAAATTAAATTCAGTTTAAAAATTTTTTAACCTTGGTTGATTCTATATTTCCTTTGTCTTTTAGCCCTTATTATTTATGAATTAGGGAAACCTAGGATAAAAAAAGTTTAACCTGGATTTATACTTTTGACCTGTAACATCCATATTAAGGAGATTTCACTTTTTAAATGTAATTTACTGCTTAAAGTGTTAATTTATGACTGTTATTAATATTATTTCTCTGTCTTTAGTCACAGGCTTCCCATTATGGTTATCCACAGTCGTAACTGGACTTGTCTGCACTTTCTACACCACTGTGGTAAATAATTCAAAAACTCCTTAAAATAGCTGTAGCGAAATAGCTGTACTGTATATGTATAGCTTAACACGTTCACATTGTACTTACAAATGCAAGGTTAGCATAGATGACCGAATTATTTGCAAAAATGTATTTAAAAAAGTTCAGTTTAAGATAACTTTGTTTTAATCTCCAGCTGTTGATGTCTTTTTTCATCTTACTTATACTTCATTTGAAAATGACAGTTTTTTTATTTTTTTAGGGTGGAATGAAAGCTGTAATTTGGACTGATGTGTTTCAAGGAGTTGTGATGTTAGCTGGTCTGACAACAATCATTATAGTTGGAACTGTTAAGGTTGGCAGCCTTAGTGCTGTGTTTCATACGGCTTACAAAGGACACAGACTTGATGTTGAGTAAGTTTGATAACATAATTAAATTACATGTACAAATTCTGCGATGTTATTTTTTCAGGCTCTGTGTGCCTGTCTCTGGGAAAGTTGAAAATGTAATCTAGATTGTGTGTGCTTGCAGTTTCTCTTTAGATCCAACCCACCGAAGCACTTTCTGGGCATTTTTGATTGGTGGTATATTTCAGATGCTTCCTGTTTATGCAACCAATCAGACTGCTGTCCAAAGATTTTTGACTTCCAGATCTTTTAAATCTGCACAAAGGTAAATTTCCGTAGTTGATAGAATTATTGATGGATATAAATATTATTTTTGTTGTAATAATTTTACAGGAACTAAAAGTCTGTGTGTGAATTCAGATGTAGTTCAGCTGTCTTCATCCTCTCTCTCTCTTTCTTTAGTGTAGGGAGGCAACAGTGTGATACATAAGATGCGCTTATAGGCAAAACGTAAACAAGGTGTATACTGTAGTTAATATTGTTATGGTCAAAATTTGTGTGTCCTTAACAGCAGGGAATTTTTAAATTTTTTTTAGAGCTGTGTGGATGAATATACCACTTAACATTTTCAGCACAACTCTGACAGTTTTAACAGGCCTAGTCATCTATGCATTTTATTCCACTTGTGACCCTCTGACTACAAAGGAAATAAACACAGACGACGAGGTACAGTTTAGTCGTGATTATTCTTGATAATAATTTTTAATAGCAATACTAAATTAACAAGCATTTTGCTTGACTCAGTCATGTGACTGTAAAGAATTATTAACCAAGGTGTTATGTCGTTAGTACTTACAGGTATCACATGACTGTTTTCGCTTTAGATCTTACCATACTTTGTGATAGAAGTACTTGGCAAATTTCATGGTATTCCTGGAGTGTTTGTAGCCTGCTTGTTTTGTGGTACCTTGAGGTGATCTATAACTTTGTTGTTAGCACAGATAATTTTCTCATCTCTCATTGGCAACATAAATGCCCTGGCTCTGATAATTTTCCTTCATTTTTGTTTCCTTGTTCATTTACTCAGTACTGTGGCATCAGGACTTAACGCCCTGGCAGCAGTTACGGTGGAAGACTTTGCTCCTTTGGTGGTACAACATATTCCAACTGAAAGAGAAACATTAGTGTCCAGGTTACTAGGTATATAATAGGCATATAATTTATCAACTTTTTCACCACAGGGATCAATGGCCAAAACTTAAGACCAAGTGACATAATTGCATAGAATGTCTTATTTTACTGGTCACACCATAGGATTTCATCTTAGACTTAAAAGTTAAAACTATCATTTCAATATGCTATGTTCTAAATAATTCCAGACTTCACTGAATTGACAAATGATTGAATTAGCTACAGTGGCTGATAACACCATCCACATGCTAGTGTACAAATGTACAAAAGGCATCTTTGGGTGCCCGGCTTATTGGTTTTAGGAAGAGGATAAGTTTTTCATGACCTAGAGAACAGGCATTACTCTTTTGTTGCACAAATCTCCACTTTGTGACCCCCACCCCCATATTGAAGAAACTG